TTGGCCGTGGGTCTGCGCAGAATGACAGACATTGCACAGACTCTGCTGTCACAAAATACGCAGTTACTGCAATACTTTTTCATCACTTTGGATGACAGTTTGCAACAGAAACATCAGCAGTACAAAAGAACCAGCCAAAAGAAAATGGGGTGTCCATTCCTAAACAAGGGGCTTCCTCTGTAGCATCGACACTGTTATGAAAAATCTGATACGGATCAGAAAATTTAACTGTGCAAATTCAAATCAACTTTACAAAAATCACTGATTCCAGATACAAAGGACTCAGCTGCATTTATATTATGAGTGCAACAACAGATATGAAGACAAGCTAAACAGCACACTGATTGATGGACTGGTTCTTTTACAGCACTTTTCTAATTTATCTGCGCACTCAAAGTGCTTTATGCAACTTGCCTAAGATTCACACACGGAGAACAACTTGGGGTTATTATCTTATATTATCTGCTCAAGGATATTTGACATAGACTGGATGGAACTGCTAACGTTCAGATTAGCAGATGACCTGCTCGACCACCTCAGCTACAGCAGCCCCAACTCATTGAACCAAGACTGGACACTTTGTGACCACCACAGAGAGACATCATAATAGCCAGAGGTTTGAATCATAAGAACTGCGTGACTGTCATCTGGTGTGTGTCACTACGTATGATGCAACATAACTGGTGTTTGGTACTAATATTAGTAGTTATTTGTTAGGGCTGTGCGTTATGACCAAAATCTCATATCCCGATATAAAACATTGATCGTCCCGACAACGATATAAATCACAAACATTTTACATTTTCTGTAAATTCTGTGAATCTCGGGCAGCTCGACTTGCATGAAGTGTTTTCAGCTGGGCGTCGTGTACCTGCAATCGAGTGTTACGTTAATTAAAACAGCCATAATTTTGTTTGTGAGTATCGATTACATGGCACGCTGCGGGAAAAAGCCTGTTCGAAGGTTTATTTTTTAACATCTGACGGCTCTTTTTAGCTTCTCGTCCGTAAACACACTGCATACAACTTCACGTGATTCAGTTTATTTTGAAAAATCTCAACAGGATCTTCAGCTTTATTATGAAAGGTTTATGTGGAAAATAAACAAGCGGACGGCGGAGCCACGCAATGGTTTTACCGACGTTGTTGCTAACGACAACGCATAAGAACAGTCGCTTCTGCGTCCATAGTGTGGTTATTTTAAATATAAGAGGAATAGAGAAGTTAATTCCACAGTGACCGTCAAATCCTTGAAAAAATGTTGCCGTAAACAGTTTATTTTGTGACACCACAAAACAAACGACAGCGTAAAATGAAACGACAGACGTTTTCTTATCATCAGCCGATATATATCGTTATACTGAACAACCCTATTATTTGGTACTAGTTATTTTGTGTTTTTGTACTGCACTTTGGTCCAGGCTGCTGTTGTAATTAAATGTGCCATATAAATAAGTAAATGATAACTCCCATATTTATTTTCTTTAAGTGTTTATTAGCCTTATATAGTTGTAAGTGTTTTGATATTTTTATATTAAATATATGCTGTGAGCCTTATATTGCTATAGTTTCTATTTCATTGGCATTTGGCATCTTATGTTGGGCCTTTGGTCATTTTGTTATTGAAAAGTGTTTTAGATTTTATACACTCATGTTTTATATTTACATTGCTAGTCACCAAGTGCTTTTGATAATTTAACTGAAATGTAAAAAAGAAACAGTACTTTCCATGTTGTAATTATATAGACTATTCACTGAATTTACAAAAATGCACTATATTATGATATACAGTGGGTAAAATAAGTCTTGAACCAGTCACCAATTTTCTAAGTAAATTATTTTGAAATGCTGCTTACTTGAAATTCTCACCAGATGTCACTGTGTATATCGTTATCGGGATAAGAACTGGCTTTTAACAGGATAAGAGATTTTGGTCAGGGACAAAGAAATCAGCCAAAAGATTATGGACCACCATATACAAGAACAGGGTCCTTGTTTCTTCTAGTATGTTTACTGTGTTATCTACAAGAACGTCAAAAGAAATCTTGCATTATAGAATATTACTGATCAACAGAACCTGCAAGATTACACGAGAGGAAAGCAACCACAGCCATTTCTGGATCTAACATTTGTTTTTGGTGCGCGCACACATAAGTTCATGCTTTTGAAGTTAACATGTATGTGAGGGAGCAGCTACACTGATCACTACTGAACTCATAAAAATGGATGGCAGGCATTTTTGGACGTTGGCTAGATTTTAATTTCAGGTTTAATTAAAGTATGATTTGCAGAGATGACAGTTTATTCTCTCAACTTTCACCCACCCATTCCATCCTGGAGCCTTTCCCAGCTGTCTTGGGGTGAGAGGCAGGGTACTCCCTGGTCAGACAACCAATCGCACTCACATTCACTCCCACATCCACACCTATGGGCAATTTAGTGTTTCCAGTTAACCTATCTCCACTCAACTTTCTATTACATCAATTGTTTTGGTGGATTAAAGAACGCTGTGTTAATGAGGACATTACTAAGAATGCAGGAGTCAAGCCATTTTACACAAACTAGACTAAACATGTTAGTAAAATTATTAAAAGTCATAAGAACCAAACAAATATGATAACTGTTTTAGCTGTTCCTGTGTGTCTGAAAGTGGGACATTACCTCCCCAGTGTCTATTTTGCATTCTTTGTATTTCACTTGCACAGTATGTATTATGGAGGGCGGCCAGTGCTGCCTTAATGGTTAGCATGTTTGCCCCCCTGCTTCACAAAAATGGTCTTGGATATTTGCAATCTCAAGCAGGACAACAGAATAATTATGGACATGACGCCCAACACTAAAGGAGACGTGCCCTCCCACCTAGGAGCAAATGCACTCCGAAACAAGTGAATCTATGCTAGCACAAAAGAAGAAGACCTTGTGAAGATGCTGAAGGAAACAGGTACAAATGTTTCATTGAAACAAATATGCCAACATAACCTGCATTCCTCAGCAAGGTCAGATTGTCTTTTTTATCTACAAAAAAAGACATAGTGAGGACATGTCTTTGCCTAAGTCCTCTGGTTTATCCTTAACGACTGTTGTACTGACTGGAACTACAAGGACGATGCTTTCAGGCTGGCACAGCTCCAATGGTGATTTATAAGACTGAACATGAGTGCCAAGTGGTAATGTTAATACTGGAGTAACTGACTCGCTGTTACCATCATGAAAAGAGAAGTCAGTCCACCACACAACACCCAGTGTTTATGACTCTGTCCACTGAGCCATATAATAGTCCACACCCAGGAAAGGCCTATGCACTGCACCAGAGCTGCATTTGCACGTGTTATTATCCAGGAAATATTCACTAATATTAGCTATAAGAAAATCCCGTTTTTAGCCCGACCCTTTCAATTAGTATTCTTATTATTAGTAAGCTCTACAGTAAGCAAAGCAAACCCCTATGATCACTGACAGCACGTCACTGTCATTTTACAACACCCGACCAAGCTGCCAAGAGATGAAGAAAAGACAGCGTCACCCTAGAGATAAGAGATGAAGACACGCGCTGAGAAAGCTAGATAGCATTGTTACCTGGAGGGTATACACTCATCACTCTCCCCAGGTATGAGAAACAACCACGGCCTACAGGCACGTCTACAGGACAGGTGTGACAGGTGGAAGCATTCAGCTAATGTTATTCACTGTGGCCTCGGAAGCTACTTTGGCATCTAATTGCCTAAAATAACCAGCGCGGTGTGTTGGGGAACGTCAGGCTGAGCAAACCGGCATCCTGTGTCACTACTGTCGCCCACATAACACAACACCACAGGGTCAGTGTTCTTATCCGCTCGTGGCATTCGTTTTATTTTAGCCAACAACTATCCAAAATCGTTACCTGTTAGCCGTTAGCTAACTCAAGCTGCACAACGACGTAAGGATGTGAAGTCCCACAGCCACACCCACAAATGATGTTGACATTTTTGACAGGTCACTAGTCATCCATCCTTACACATAACCTAAAAGATTACCTCACAGTCACTGCTGCTAACACGACAGCTAGCCCCATTCCTCATTTCAACACTATCTTGACTGTTGGCTAAAATAGCCAGCGCTAGCCTGCTACTGGGTAAGGCTAAGCTAGGTCTTAAACAAAAGGTGTGATCATGTAATACACAGTGAAAAACACAGGACCTATGTTGCTAAGGGCGTTTTTAGAAGCTATATATTCTTACCGAAGAGTCGGACCGACACAAGCTGTGTCGGTGCTTTCAATTTCCTGTAAAATCCGCTCGTGCTCCGTTATGCACTCCAGGGTTTCACTGTCCGCCATGATTGTTATGTGCATATTACGGCTATCACTGCAGCTACAGCGGAGCATAGGTCAGTGTGAGGTCCGGCCTGTGGGAGGCGCACTACGGTCGTGTTGACCCCGGTGATTGCGGCTTTGTTTCCGCATAGCCTGTGCCTGGTTCCTCAAACATTGTACCACATGGAAAACCACACGGGTTTTGACTGTTTATGATCTTATCATAACTACTGTATAGCGAGTGGTTTGCATGGTTAGCAGTAAAAAACAGGAAAATAATTTGTACTGTCATTCACACGGTACTTGTAATAATAAAGATGCCTGCTATCAAATGAGCTTTAGTGGCTTCTATTTGATTCATCTCAGTTCTGCTGTAGATACATTTTAAATAACAACATGCAGAGGAGGCTATTTACATCTTTATGGGTTTTTTTTTTTTTGTTAAATCAAGATACAATTCTGGTAAAGCCTGACAAGTGATACACACTGACGCTAATAATACTAAGCTTTTTTCACATTAAATGTCTGTAATTGAACTCACAGTTTAATCAAAGCGAACACAGTTTGCATGTGTCCGCTAGCTTCTAAGTGCGTTTTTTCCTGGTCTTGGTATTAAGATAAACCAGCGTTTTAAATGTTGTAATTTAGCTAAATCAGTCCACCTTCAGTTGTGTTCAGCAGATAAATCTTGGGTGTGTTTTGGAGTTTACCTTAAGGTGGTTCCAAGAGGTAAGTCCACAGATTCCAACTCTGCAAAAATATTCCCAAAAGCCTTCTTTTCTTCTTCTTTGCTTTCTGCTTGGCTTTGACGAGGCGGCTCAGGTAAAGCAGCATAGATCCTGTCACTAGCCATTCTCTCTTAGTGAAGTATGTCTTGAGTATGAAGACTAAAAATCTGTACGTGTAAGAGAGGATTTTTTTTTTGTGTGTGTGTGTGTGTGTGTGTGTGTGTGTGTGTGTGTGTGTGTGTGTGTGTGTGTCGTGCAGGACACCTGCTGTGGTCAGCAGAAAAAAGGGTGCAACAGGAAAAAGAGACCTTGTGATTCACTGAACTTTGAAGCCAACAAAACTAATTTCAGCAGTTCTGTGTTAGTAGCTGTGGCTTTATTCACCTCTGAAAAGTAAAACCACAGCCATCAAGCTGCAGTTGATGTTGCAGATACAGGGCCTGATTTCTTAGTTATTTGTCACACATGAATACTGATCAAAGTGTAATATTATAAAGAGGAAATACAAAATACAAAATGCAGTTTGATGATGATTTATCTATTATGGAAAAGAATCTGTCCAAACCTCCCTGGCCTGATGTGACAACGTCATTTTGCCTAAACCTAACACAGAACTGTGATCACTGGAATTTATTATTATTTAATAATAATAATAATAGTATTAATAATATAATAACATCCATGAGGGGAAACCACTTGTTCAGTGACCTGTAAACCACAGAGCTCCCTTTTCTGTCAGTTTGTTCAGTCTGTTGTTGTCAGCAGACTAACAACTAACTGACAGAAAAACGTCTCCAGTATCTGCTGCGCATGTTAAAGAAAGATAGACTTCCAGTTCAGCCTGGCCTCAGAGTGCAGAGGTGGCAAAAGTACGTAAGGAGAAATACACAGACTTGATTCAACTTCTTTACTGAAGATTACATAAGATTAAAAAGATTAAAAATTATAACATGTCATCTGTAAATCTGCAGTTTATCAAGTGTCACGAGCAGTCATTACCTTTAATATAACCTCTCTTGTCCTCTCATGTCTTTTCTTACATTTTTCTCCATCTATGATTGAAATTTGCTCTCTTTCGTTTCCCTCTCTGGAAATCCAACATCTGGACCGTTAGCAACACACTTTGTGACAAACTGTAGTAAATAAACCGTAGTAAATGAGCACAAAAACAATTGAACCTGCTTAGCTATACCATACCGTCACTGCCATTATATTATGCTGCTATTCTGTCATTATATTAATGCTGCTATCCCGTATATATCGTACTTACTATTGTTTGAGTACTTGCGATTATTTTATTGTACTTTTTATATTTTACATTTATATTTATTATTTATCTTGCACCAAGGGAGTGGCACTCCAATTTCGTTGTACTCTGTACAATGACAATAAAGGCTATTCTATTCTATTCTATTCTAAACTGCGCATGAACAGTTTGTGTTAGGGATGCACCGATACCGATACTGGTATCGGGTATCGGGCCGATACTGTAAAATGTGTGTGTACTCATACTCATAAAAGTTAACCGATACCATGAACCGATACTAACTTATTTCATTAATCAGAGGGTGGCTTGTCATTTCTGTTGTAGTTCTTTAGATTGGCCACTAGGGGGACATCCCGCACTAAACAGGCACAGGTTAAGCGAGTGAGAGTGGCGGCTTCAGATAAAAAAGAGAAACTGGAGGCTGCTGTAGCTAGGCTAAACAAAATGTCAGCAGTGTGGACCGGAACAGCCAACTTTAACTCAGGTTTGGAAAAGCAATGAAAAATGTCAAGAGAAAATCCACGGGCAGTTAAAATAACACAGGCTCTGACTCATTTTATCGCTCTGGATGACCAGCCAATGGACCAGCCGTGGAAAACATAGGATAGCACCGTCTTCTCAGCGTACTCGTACTCGAGCTGCGATATGAAATTCCCAACCGCCCATACATCAGGGAGATAATGGTGCCAAAACTTTCTGAAGAGGTAAAGACAAGCAGTGTGTGCGCGATGTCAGTCCTCAGTTTAACGGCACACTGATGATTCACGGGCAGATGAGGAGTTTGTTCGTCAATGCCAATACTTTCGTTATTTTGTTTGTTCGTTTACATATGGACACTCTGCAATAATTTAAAACATTTATTTTATTCTCAACCTAATTTGTATTTATTTTATTCCAAACAGAAGTGTTTATTTATTATTCTGAAAGCTCGAGACGGTGGCAATAGTTCAGTGATATTTTGTTAAATTACAATG